CCCCCCCAACTACAAATATGCAAACCTATGTTTCTAGCCTAATTTTTTTTAGCAAGCCAAGTTTCTCAGGACACCAGATTATACAAATTAATCAAGTTCTTGCTATATTTTAATTAAGGTATTTTATCAGACATTTAAGAAATACAGTGAAATTAGCTACCTTTTTCCTGGGAAAGCTTCTCCTCCTGTCTCTGATGATGAGGTTTATATGGTGCTGCACCACGACTCAGTCCCTCAGCCACAAAGCCATCTAGGAAAGATAAGGAAGCATCTACCTACATTGAATCCAAAAAGGACAATGACATTAGACTCTTTTCACAATGGCAGATTATTAATTCCACTATAAGAATGTTCCAGTCAGTTTACAGCTCTCACACTTGAATCAGTTAGCCTTAGTATATTCTAGACTTAAGCCATTAGCCATAGGAGCATTCTACACGTAGAAGACAATATTTCTATGTAGTAACATCTATTTAAACAATAAATCTTAAACAATGGATAACTATGGAAACTCATTCGATATCACTGATTTGTCTGGAAAAGAAAACTTGACCAAAAAAAATCCTGCATCCCAATATGATCTATTCTGTGTTCACATCTATACACTAACTCAATTGTAAAGCCAATCACATTAGCTCCCTTTCTGAATAATGGAATCCCAGTGCGACCAATCATAAAAACATCATAGTAAGTAAACTGATAGATCTGGATCTTCCAACTCCTAACTTCCAAGATGCACATTATTCATGGGACCACAAAAATGTCAGCCTTGTCAGAACACAGGCTGAAGTTACCTTACCACCATATCATCACAGCTAGCATCAAGTGGAAGCAAGTTTTTCATCAAATCTTTGTCTTCACAGAGATGTTTTAATTCAAAGGCATGTTGCCTCATGCAAGTATCCAGAGAGGTGCTGAATTCCTGGATTAGTTTATCAACTGTTTTAGAGCCAGGGTTAAGGGATGCTATTTTGGTGATGGCAGCCATAATCCAGGCTTTAGTTTCAGAAGTAACAAAGGTCTTCTTCAGTAATTTGTGCAGTCTGGTCATAATGACTTCTGGATCACCCTCATCATTTATAAGACAGGAATACTCCCCCAAAACCTAGAAGTAACAGATATAGTGAACACTTGGTTACAAAAGCATGATTTACCAATCTGAAAATTAATATGCAACACCAACATAGTAAAATATACCTTATATTCAAAAAAAAATTATAGGCATGTAACTATTTATAAATTTGGAACTTTACAAGGTATTTTCACATTATATATCCACCTAAAAAAACCCAAAATATATGCAGTAAAATATATGCAGTGAAAAGGGACATGATGTCTGCTGGTTTGTAGGTACTTACATTAAGCATATGGGCAGATGAATGAACTGTATCAGGGTAAATGAAGATAAGGCAAAATGAATGAACACACAAGTGAAGCTGCCTTGGTTTATTTTCTACTTAGAATCATAGGATCAAAGGACTGGAAGGGACCTGCAAGATCAAGTCCAATCCTCTGCCATGGACAGGAAGTTATTGGGCTCAAACAAGCTCAGCAAGGTGCTTATCCAGCCTCATCTTGAACACCTCCAAGGATGGCAACTGCACCACCTCTGGCTGGGAATGTGTTCCAGATTCTGGTAACCCTAACAGAAAAGAGTTTTTCTTCTTATGTTCAGCCTAAATTTTCCCTCTATTAGCTTGTGTCCATTGGTCCCCATCCTCCCTTGAGATGCCTTCCTGAAGAGTTGCTCCCCTAGATCTTGATGTTCACCCCTTGTAGGCAGCTATCAAGTCACCTCTCAGTCTTCTCTTACTCAGACTGAACAGGCCCAATTCCTGGAGTCTCTCCTTGTAGGGCCTATCCTCCAGGCCCCTAATCATATGCATGGCCCTTCTTTGTACCCTCTCAAGCTTATCCTTCCTGAAGTGTGGTGCCTAGAACTGGACACAGTACTCCAGCTGTGGCCTCACCAATGCCAAACAGAGAGGGCACCTCCCTGGTATTGGCAATACATCACCTGATGCACACCAGAGTTTTAATTTGCCCTGCTGGCAACCTCAGCAAACTTAGCACAGGATAGAAGCAAAAGCACAATGCAGATACTGCGGAACTGCTGCCATGTGGTAAGTTTGCCTCCACACACCCTAAAATGAACAACTTCAGTATGTGCCGAAAAACTAACTCAATGCCCTGGAGATCTTCAAGAGGAGACTGGACGGTCACCTTACTGGGGGTTGTCTTTCCTGCCTGGTGCAGGGAGATGGACCCAATGATCTTCCAAGGTCCCTTCTGGCCTTACAGTCTATGAATAACAGAAGTCAGCAAAGTCAGAAACTATTCCCTCAAGCCAATGGAAACTCTGTATCTGCTAGCTGAGAAGATGAAACACTTCCAGTCCTTCCAAAAAAAGTAAAATCAGCACTTTTGTAAGTAAGTGGCTGATTGAAAACAGTTACCCAATAACTATGCAAGCACAATTAATCAGGTGCTTGTTTTCCATTTCAAGTAGAGCCTGGTTGTTTTCTTCCGTGTGAGAGAGAATACTAGGGCAGCAGCTTGGCAGGTCACCATAAGACTGAACATGCATTTTCACAACTACTTATGGTCTTACTATGGAGAAATTAGAAAGTGACAGGCACCAAAGCAGACAGCTGGCTGAACAGGTTTCAGTGTAATACATGCCTTTTGGAAGACAGACTCTAAAATGTTCAAAAAGTTCTCACTTAAAACAGGCTTCCACACATAGTAATTTTATACATATAAAAAAAAAATCATAGGTAGCTTACCCAACTCATAACCTGAAGAAATTTCTGAGGATAAATGGCATCTTCCTCCTCCAATAAACCAAGATATGATTGAACAGCATAAAGCCGTAGCTGCTCATCTTCCTTTTCATCATCAAACCCTGAAAACAAAATGACAACCATTATTTGAAATATATGCTGCATGTACAATGGAATTCAAAACCAACTTAGAAAAATCAAACTAAATAATTAATTAGGAACATAGAGTTGTTTCTTTACAGGGTCCAGGAAGTTCCTCACCTTCAGCCAGAAGCCTCAAAAAGTTGTTTGGAATATCAGGGTGCATCACATCTCCTCCTATCGAAAACACAGCATTCATAGTCTGGATGAACCACTCATTGGCAGGTGCATATGTGCCCAGAATGTTAAGGGAAGAAATGCTAAAGCATACTGGTTTTATTAATTTTTGTATTTAATTTATTTTTACTTACAATCTTAACAGAGAATTTTGAGACTATGCTATTTGTGCAAACAAATGCTTACCATGTAAAGGACTGCCAAGCTAAGGAAAGGTTTGGCGCACTTCTCCGAAAGGGTTTCAATATGGAGCTATGAAGAATCTTTGTGGCATGTGTTCTACAACCCTTGAATCTCTCACAGCTGTCCTTCCATATTCTAATGTAATCTACAAATTCCTTGGAATATTGTGGGGTTTCTTTTAAAACAAGTATACAATGGTCCAAAGCTGTCTATTTCACTGGGAAAGCCAAGATGCTGTTACAGGATATAGTACTGGATTGCCAGAGGGAAGTGAATTAATCTCTCACGACATCCCTTTCAGCCCTAAACTTCTGTGAATTTGTGTGAACTTAAACCACAATGGCACAGTTAATGCAGAAGTATCAACAGAGGGTGACAGCGTGGAATGCTTTAAATCCACAACAAAGATTATTCCACATTTAATTTCCAAGGGGAGTTAGAATACCAGTACACGTTTTACGTATAACACTGAGCGTGTGGGGTTTTGCCTACACGTATCTGATCTTCTTTTAAAACTGAAAAAGAACAAGTCTAAGTGACTTATTGCCTATAAACAAGTACTACTCTGCTATTCAGAATTAGAAGTATAGTAAAAGCTGTGTTAACCGGCATTTAAGTAACCAACACTCTACTAACCAGAATTTCCAGCCGGCCGGCCAGACACAGGGGTGGGGAAAGCTCGCATGCGGGGGCAGCTGCTGCCACCCACCACTTTGTGCTGCCACTACTCCACATGTGGCCACTACCACCCCTCCCACCTGTGCAACCACTACCACCCCCGCCCCAGTACAGCCAAAAACCCCTGCCTCAGGTAACCAGCATTTTTAGATTACTGGCACCCTCCACCCCTCACTCATGCCAGGTAACAGAGCTTTTACTGTAAATAGCTTTTCTTAGTGTTCAGGATGCTAACTTCTGGAAGTTTACTGAGGAATAACAGTCTCCCACACTTAACAGAAGCCTCAGCAATACCAAATAAAGTGTTAGCCAGAATTTATTTGTATTGCAAATAGATTTATTGTTGCACTGCAACATACCAGGAACTTTATTTCAGAGAGAAAGAGAGAGACAGGGAGGTTACTGTAGGTTGGAATTTTTGCAATATCTTACCCGGTGCCTTTCCCATGTACACCGTTAGGAAAATCATTTCTTAAAAGCAAGAGTGCTGGAGCCTGCACTTAATAGAGTACTGGAGTTTCCCTTTCCCATACTAAAGAGGACCTTTTTTTGGAGTTTTAAGCTCAGGTTTTAATATTAACTTAAAAGATTAACTGCAAAGAAAAAACATTCTTAATTTTTCGCTTACGGTTCAAATAATGTCAAGACCATTTCTGCAAGTGTTCACTTCTGCTCACCTTTTTCCCCCCATTTTAGTATGGCCTTGATGCCCTGTCTTGAAAGGCCACAAAATGTTCTTGGTTATTAATCTGAGTCAGTTACATGAGTCAGCTTCAGCAAAACAAAAGGATATTTCTCAGCTAATTCAGCGATTTTACTCACTAAGTTGATGATGGTATATTCTTCTTTGCTTTGTTTTAAATAGTCAAGCATCTTCTGAACTATGACGGTTACATTCTGCCCATTGGTAATTCTATAAAGAAGTTCCAATGTCTGAAGAAAAAAAAACATGACCCTAATCACACATCAAGAGAGAGTCATAGATGAAAAGTAAATAAAGTGCCAAACTGGATAAAAGGCAAATACTGGCATATCCTAAATACATGTTTTAACAAGGAAATAAGGATGAAAAATTAGAAGAGTTAAAAACGGGAGTTACATAGGTAACTGCATGCTCTGTGTACTTTTACCTTTAGCAGTTGCAACATCAATATAACTTTTATGCCACTGTGTTATAACACTAAGAATTCCTAACTTTAGCAGAGACATTAGGCCTATTTTGTGGAATTCAAAAATCAACTTACTTCCCTTTTAATAATGGGATCAGGATGGTCTAGACATTCAATTATTGTCATTTGGTGCTGAAGTGCCAGATTAGGATCCTGCTGGATAACATAGGTAAGAGCCTTTAATCCTAGAAAGTAAGTTAAGTTATTACAAAGGGATATGAACAAAAAGCACAGACACAATTAGATTCAATTCAAAACGTCTTGTTCAGGTGACCAGGTATCCTTACCTAAATATTTCAAGTTAATTTTTGGTGACAAAACAAACTTTCCAATGCATTTGGCAGCCTTCTCAAGCAGATCAGGTTTGGGGTAAATGCTATAAATTGTTTGGACACATTCAAACAAGATGGCTGGGGAAACAACAAAAAGCAAGTAAATGGCAGTAATTTATAAATGCATAACAAGCATTTTTACAAAACAAGCAGCATACAAGTAACAACGTTTCAAGGTCGAAAGCTTTCCCTAAGAGGGGCGCACTCAATGTGTTAAAGCAATCATACATGCAATCTCTATGTAGATTTCTGAGATCTTTAAATCACATTGAAGTTTTTCGAACAGGTGTTACTCTTTGTACATAAATAAATTTCCTTCCTGCAGGCAAGGAATATCTGTACTGCTTCTGCCATGAAGGCAATTGCACCAAATTAAATAGGTGAAAATTATGACTGAATGCAGGCTAGGCAGGGATATGCAGCCACAACTACAGAGTGGAGTTTCAGTTAGGGCTTGAAATATGTTCTGTGCTTCGCCACCCAAAAAATGGAAAATGACATCAGAACAAGATGAATTGTTGTTGTGTCTAAAAAAAAATTGCTGAAAATTTAGCAGACAGTTGTTGTCAATAATACTTAGAAGAACAGAGGGTGTCTGACAAGGAGCCAAGTACAGTTTATACAGTTGCATGGATAGATTAGTACAGAATGGCACAGGCAGCAGAGACTTGATTTCTTACTTAGGAACAGGCAGTTCTGTCAACAAACTAGCAAGTCTTTGAAGTCTATCAATGGATTATTAAGTCTTTAGACAGAGCAATGAAGTAAAAACTGATCTGGCCATTTATTTTTAGTGCATGTAAACGTGTAAATGGTCTGTGTTGAATAAAGGTCTCCCCGTCCAGCATTGTAGCAAACTTACAAGTACAGTGCATTCACTCTAACAAGGACTTGGAGCCTAATTATCTTCCTCCCACTGAAGTTAATAGTTCAGTTCCCACAGACTTGAATGAAAGCAGGACTGAAATCCTGGTTACCTTCTTTTAGAAATATTTTTATTATAAATTCTCAGTTTTTACACAACTTTCCAACCTCAAAGTCTGCTGTAAAACTAACCAACCAAGAGATTGGTTGGAGGCCAAGACTAGACCGTGGAGGTCTAACAAAAGCAAAAGGGTAATTTACTCATTTTCAGGAAGACTCAAAATCATCATATAGGCATCAACAGCAGTTAAGAAGTCATGATGAATTACTGAGGTTAGCCACTATTACAGTATGGACAAAGGGAGAAAAGATCAGACATAATTCAGGGATTTCAAACCATCTCAACAATTTGCATGTTTTTGCCAAATCTCATTTAGTCTAAAATGTATTGGATGGGTGATAGACAGACCTGAATCTATTGATTTTTAGCCACTGAAAAGCTACGCCTGAGAAAGGTATGTGCGCTAACTTGTCTGCAACAAGCCAAGAATGTCCAAAAAGTATGGATTTTAGCATGTAACAGAACTGGCAATTTTCCAAAAACATAACTGAACAGATTTACATTTTTGCATAGGGAGGCATCATCAATTCTTCAGCACTTTACAAAACAATTGACAAACATGAATGGAAGAATGCACATAAAACTGTTTCTCTGCATACATTTCATTGAGTGCTAATATGAACCTTTTCAGATACGGTCGTCCACTTTGATCCCCACAGTATTTAACACTCAACATTAGGAATCCAACTTCCTCTCACTGTACAAAGGATTTATGCACATTTATAGTCTTGGGAACTCCATTTAGAAATTCTACATATATTTTAAGACAACAAACCTATTTAGCCATTTTCAAAATCAACTCTTAAATTTACCTATTTAACTAATATGTGTATGCTAGTACTTTTAATAGTTTAGTTTCAAAACCATGAAACACTGTATCATTTACAATGAGAGATGCCATTCCATTTTTAATTCAGTGTTCTAAAACCTTAGATATTTATGCTTAAGAAAATAGTGAAAAACCCCAAAGACGCACGTTTTAAAATAATACTTTCAGTCTTGTTAAAGTATCTCGTTTGTTCTACTCTACTGTCAGATGTCTTCTGCCCTCCTCCACAAACTGGAAATGACATTATCATGGCTGTTTGCAAGAGTTATAAAGTCAACAGCAGTGCCATATGGCAACACGTCTTTCCACACATATTAATACCAATGAACTCTGGAAATATATTAACTGGTGCTACAGAGTAAGTCAAAGAATCACAAATGAATCTGGAAAAGCAGACGTCTCGCATCCTCCCTTTTTTTGCTATACGTCTCAACAACAGATTATGCAGACAATTTAAAAAAAAAGAAACTGAAGAAGTCCAGTATTGTTCTTCTTTCTGACAAAGGAAAGCATCACCATTTCTATTTTTAAATTAGGCACTATAATCACTGTACAGTAGGTTATCACACCAAGCATACAACCTTGCATATTTGAAGGCAAGATGAAGCCTACTATAACTTGGAGGACTTCCATGTTACACTCATCTATTTGAAAATTAGCCAAGTTTGAGCCCAATTTCAGATGTTCCCTATTAACATAAATGTTTACTTCAATACATTTCTGTATATATTTTGAAATGCTGTAATTCGAATGCTTTGCAGGTCACCAGTCACAACAGCCAAATTCAGTCGTTTATCAGATTATTTAACCACAGAACACTGCATTTGTTTGTGTCATAGTACTGTGTATATATCTTCTTATAATTTTAATTTTGCTCTTAGGTATAATATATTCACACTCACCATATGTAATATTATGATTTATTTCTGCTCTTCTCAAAGATTCATCCAGAACATCATACATCAATTCACTTGTCCTGTTGCAAAATATTTTTTTTCATTAAAAATATGTAATTTGATTTGAAGCACAGTACACTAATTGTATAAATACACCTGTGGGGCCTGATCTGGGAAGCAAAACCAAACACCACACATGCAAGTGCTCCATAGGACTCCAACAAGAATATTTACATGAAGAAATTCTCATTAGACCGAGGGCTCTATAACCTGGACTGAAATGGCATCTCAACATATATTTTCTCTTCCAATTTGAAAGTATCTACTATATTAAAATGGTAAAAACACTGCCTTGACTGCTCAAAACAAAAGTTTATTTTACTTACCAAATGGAAAAGAAAGCACAGACAAACTAAACTGTCACTATCTTTACTCTGAATTTTCCCAACCTAATGAACAGAAGTTCTGACTAAATGTTTCTCAATGCCCCCCTTCACAATCAGTTGCCTAGCTCACAGAGAAATAGGGAAACAAACTAAGCACAGCCACTTTTCAGTAAATCTGAAACCTGAGCTCAGCATTTGTTACAAAGAGAAAAAATGTTAAGCCTGTCATACTGCACCGTTTCTTTCACTTTTCTTCATGAAAGAAAGTAAAATTTGTCATGAGTCATCACATAATGATTCACAATGTATTCTTACCACTTTCAAAGACTTTGTTACATAAAAAAACCTGGTTACCTTGGATCATCTTTTCCTAGCAGCCCTAGTATTCTTAAGAGCTGAATCTGTAACCATGGTGCCGGTACACTGTGGTAATTGAAGTCTATGGGAAGCTTTCCTCCCACTACCTGCTTTAGAATGGTTACAAAGCTTTCTGTTAAGTCCTTATATCCAGATGAGTTTTCCTAAACAAGGAAAAAAAAAAAAACATGCAACTATTCTAAATTTAGCACCTCAAACACAATATAAAACACAGCCTAAGTGAATACAAATTTCCTAGCCAAATTACTCAATAACTTGGTCTATTACCTAACTCATCTCTTCTCCCTCTCATATTCTAATGTGAAGTTTTGTAAAGCCATGGCTGAAGGCACTGCTCTTGTGGGGGAAAATATGCATGAGAGACATACCTCAGTGTAACTGTTAATACATTAAAAATATAAACATTTGACTTAAGATCAAAAGCCAGGAATAGAAAGAGAACCAGTGTTAGGCAGTGCACCTAGCAGGACTGTCAGAAATTTAAAACAGAGCCAATTTTTGGAATTTACATAAATGATAAAATGTTTCATCAACTCTGCTCTTATTTTTCTGGAAGATTTTAAGTAAGATTTTTCTACTGATCAGTTTTACAGCTGACAACACATTTTTTTAAAACAGCTTACAAGTTATGTTGGACTTCTATTTTTAGTTTACCTTAATCATTTGAAGGTAAATGTGCAAAGAGGCAGCCATAACTCCAACATCTCTGTCACACAAGGCTTTCCGGAACTTGTCATGGATGTGCTGGACTTGGTTGGGAGCAATGAGATAGAACTTATACAGAGCTTGCACAGCTTTCCTTCGGATAATTTCCCTATGAAGAAAAAACAGATGTTATTTTTAGATCAACCAACTCAAACTTTTATTTAACCTTTAATTTTTGTCTCTATATTTAAGTATTTTAGGTACTTGACTCCTATGAAAAACACCAATATTGTACCATTTTCCATTTCTGCAGCTAATAAAATAAAATCGCTCTCATAACATATTTCAGGTAGACAAATTTTACAGCTAAGGAACAGAAAGAGAGATTAAGTGACTTGGCCAAGCCCACATGATCAATGTGTGGCAGAGTTTAGCAGTTAGTCTGATAGTTCAGCATATCCACTATGCTGGCATTCTATTTTCACATATATGGAATGTTATAAACTAGTTGGTTTGATAATCAAAGTGCCTACATTAGCTGCTCAGCATCTTCAAATGGGACATGCATTCTCAGCTTATCTAAAATCAGGCACTGATGCAATGAATACCAAGGGTCCAATTTGTTACTCCATTTTACAGCAAGCACTTTTCAGTCCCATACATTTCCTAGCAGTATCTCCACACATACAAATTACATGATATTTAATCATCAACAACAGTTATGCAAAATTGTAGACTTATCATCATGCACCCAACAGTGTGTAAACTAAAGAGAGAAAAGACGTACAATAGCAAAATTAGGAAAGGCACAGAAACTTGTGATTAGCTGCTGGAGAAGCAGTCATTCACAAGAGAAAGCCTCTGGTGAGATCACAGCACAGTGTGAAATCCTACAAGCAACTACCTACTTGGAATGCTGAAGCTTATCTTCTATGAGGGGAAGAACAGCTGGAATCATTTCCCGTGGAAAGATCTGGCTGACAACTGTTAGCGCCATGCATACCTCAACCAAGTTAGTGCTCTGCAAGTCCTGTCACAGAAAGCAAAACAACAAAACACTGATTTCTGAAGTTAAATAATGGGAAATTTACACTTCACACTAAGATTGAAGGAGAAAAAGTTCCCATAGTTATGCTAAACTCTGCAGCAACCATCCCTGAGGTCTTGTCAAGGGTTTTTTCATTTTTTCTATCAATCTTCATTTATTTAGGAATAATTATGTAAAACAAGTAGTGTCAGGGAGTTCAAGCAGCTCCAGAACAATGGTGGCAATGGGCATGTATAGATCTTTCACTTTCAATCTGACTGGCCACAGGCACTGAAAATTAGTTACTGGTTCTCTTCATTGGACTACTACATCACCGACCAAACAGGCCAAGTAAGACTTGGGTCAGTGAAGCAAAGAAGTATTTTAATAAACCAGGAGTTTTGGAAATACATCTTAGAATCAAAACACTTAAATATAAACCTGCACCAGTTCTTTAAGAGAAACCAGAATATTCTGTTCTGGGTTTTTGGTTGTAGCCATGTTGGTCTAAGGACATAGGCAGGCTAGATTCTGTGAGCAGATGTAGTATCTTTTATTAGACCAACTGAGTAGTTGGAAAAAAGTTCTTAGCAAGCTTTCAGGCACAGTCACCCTTCTCCAGGCATAGGAAGTCTCTGCTGTTCTGAGACTCCAAGGAATGAGAGAAGCTAAAAGTGTGACAGGACCTCAGTGAAAATGTAAATAAGTAGAAATTAGGAAAACAAAAGGTAAAGCAGGGAAGGATGGGGTGAGGAGAGGCAGGGGAAAAAAAGCCAAAGGTGAGTAAGGGAGGCTCTATAGTACTGGTAATTCAAGGTAGAAAAGAGGCTGCCTGTGAAAAAGGAAATGGCTGGAATTAGGAAGAGGAAGGGCAGAAAAGGAGGGTGGGGGGCAGGGAAAGAAAAGTGTAAGAGGTCAGGTCTGGCAGGTATTTGGTGAATCAAATGGAAGGCAGGTTGTGATGTGTCATAAATCCAATGTCTCTATTGATTCCATGATTTTTTGTATCCAGTAAATTTATGAACTGAAGTGAAGTTCATAGGCTCGTCTACTAAAGGTGTTTTGTAAGTTCCCTTTGAGGATCAGAACTGAGAGATGGGAGAGGGAGTGATTGTCTTGTGAGAAAGCTGCCCCCACAGGTAACTGGGTATTCTTGTCTTTGACAGATTTTTGGTGTGTGTTCATTCTCGTGCACAATTGTTGTTTGGTTTCTCCTAGATATTTTCCATCAAGGCATTTGATGCACTGGATGAGATGTAGAACATTTCTGGAGGTGCAGGTGTAAGATGCAGGAATGGTGATGGATCTGTTGTGGGGTATAGTTGTTGTGGGGGTGGTGATGTGTTGGCAGGTTTTGCATTTCTTGTCCTGGCACAGTCTGGATCCACTGGGTGTGGTTTGGGTCATAGGGAGTTTGCTTCTGATCAGGTTAGCATGGTTCAGTGCTTGTTTAAAGACTAAGGTGGGTGGTTCTGGAAAGATCTCTCTAAGAATTGGGTCGTCTTCTAGTATGGACTGCAATTGTTTAAGGATTTTCCGTGTAGGTTCCAGGGAAGGGTGATATGTTATAACTAGTGGTGCAAGATTTGTGGGGATTTTCTTTTTGTACTGCAGCAAATTTTCACATGGTATACGGGTGGCTCTTTCAAAAGTGCAATCTCTCTCTCTGAAGGAATGTCCTTGTTGGCTGAAGGCCCTTTTGAGATTTGTGAGGTGGAGATCACAGGTATTCTCCTTGGTGCAAATTCAGTGGTATTGGAGAGCTTGCCTGTAAATTACAGCATTCTTGGTGTGCTTAGGGTGGTTGCTGGTTCTGTGCAGATATGTATGTTGGCCCATGGATTTCTTATATATGGTGGTTTGAATTTAACCCTCTTGAATATTGATCATGGTGTCCAAAAAGGAAATGCTGTTGTTAGAGTATTCAAGCAATGGTCTGATAGAAGGGTGATGACTGTTGAATTTTTGATGGAAATCAGAGACTGCAGGGTTTCGGTCCAAATGATGAAGATGTCATCTGTGTATCTCATGTATAGTAAAGGTTTGATGGCGCAATTCTTGAGGAATTATTCTAGATGGGCCATAAAAAGACTGACATATTGTGGGGCCATTTCGGTGCCCACAGCTGTGCCCATGGTCTGGAGGAAGTGTTGGTTGTTGAAACTGAAGTTGTTGCGTGTGTGGATAAAGTATGTGTGTTTAGTGATATCCTGAGATCTGTACTCAAGAGTTATAATCTTGTTCTTGTAGGTATGTGAGGCAGGCTTGGATGCCATCCTGGTGTGGGATGTTGGTGTATAAGCTAGTGACAGCCATGGTGGCTAGGAGGGTATTGCTGGGAAAGTAGTCTATGTTTTTGAGTTTTCGCAGGAAGTCTACTGAGTCTTGGATGAAACTTGGTCTCTGGGTGATGAGCGGTTTTAAGATGGATTCGACGAAACCTGGTATTTCTTCAATTAGGTTTACATGTTTTGAAATGGTAGCTCTGTCAGGGGTTCCTTGTTTGTGGATTTTAGGGAGTAGGTAAAAAGTCCCTGGATTAGGTAGTGGAGAGATTAGGGGGGTCTGAAGCTTTTCACGTAGTTCTGACAGAAATGATGTGATGGTTTTGAGGAGAAAAGGGGAGCTGGATTTTCCTCTAGTTTTTTTATAGTACGTAGTGTCAGAGAGTTGTCCGCTGGCTTCTTTTATCTAGTCTTCATGGTTAAGAATAACTATAGCTCCTCCTTTATCTGCTGGTTTTATTACTGTTTGGTGGTTGGATCTTAGACATTCTATGGCCCCTCTTTCTGGGAGGGAGAGGTTCTTATAGTGGTGTTCGTTGCTAAGTATTTTGTTGCTCATTCTTTCCCTGAAGCAGTCAATGTAGCGATTGAGGTTTAAATTTTGTCCACTGTTAGATGTCCTATCTGAGGAATTTGGGGATTTTTTGGCATAGATTTTTTTAATCAATGTTGTCACCAGATGAATTAGTGTTGAAAGTGGATTCCTTTTGGTTGTGGCAATATTCCTTTAGATGGACGCGCTGAAAAAAATCTTCTAGCTCTCCACATTGTAGTATCTTCTCTGGTTGTTTTTCTGGACAGAAATTAAGGCCTTTGGAGAGGCCAGATTTTTCAGCTTTGGTAAGTGTGTGCGTATCCTCTCCAAAGGCCTTAATTTAAGGAGAAACCAAACAATAATTGTGCACGAGAATGAACATACACCAAAAATCTGTCAAAGACAAGAATACCCAGTTACCTGTGGGGGCAGCTCTCTCACAAGGCAATCACTCCCTCTCCCATCTCTCAGTTCTGATCCTCAAAGGGAACTTACAAAACACCTTTAGCAGATGAGCCTATGAACTTCACTTCATAAATTTACTGGATACAAAAAATCATGGAATCAACAGAGACATTGGATTTATGACACATCACAACCTGCCTTCCATTTGATTCACCAAATACCTGCCAGACCTGACCTCTTACACTTTTCTTTCCCTGCCCCCCACCCTCCTTTTCTGCCCTTCCTCTTCCTAATTCCAGCCATTTCCTTTTTCACAGGCAGCCTCTTTTCTACCTTGAATTACCAGTACTATAGAGCCTCCCTTACTCACCTTTGGCTTTTTTTTCCCCTGCCTCCCCTCACCCCACCCTTCCCTGCTTTACCTTTTGTTTTCCTAATTTCTACCTATTTACATTCTCACTGAGGTCCTGTCACACTTTTAGCTTCTCTCATTCCTTGGAGTCTCAGAACAGCATAGATTTCCTATGCCTGAAGAAGGGTGACTGTGCCCAAAAGTTTACTAAGAACTTTTTTCCAACTAGTCAGTTGGTCTAATAAAAGATACCACATCTACTCAAAGAACCTTGCCTGCCAATATTCTGTTCTGGCATTTTGCTCATGCTTTGCATGCTGCATTAGCGACAAAAATAGGTCTCCTGACAGCCCTCTCCTAGAATGGCACTGACATTTTAAAGGCTGCATCCAGATGTTCAATTCTATCAGAAAAATATTGTTCCAGTAGAAAAAAGAGCCTGCAAGCTGGACTTTACAGGCTGTCCAGCAAGGGAGCACCAGAGTGCTGCTCCCTTGGCTACCCCTACCCTTCTGGGAGCCCATTAATTAACAGTCTGTCCTCTCCCCTGCCTGGGAAGCGGGTAGGCTGCCAAGTAGCAGCTGGCAGCTGCTAAAAAGAAGCAGTTGCCACAGCCAGCCACAGAGGGTTCCATGTCCTGGTTTACCCACAGGAGAACAGCCCCACTCCTTGCACTCCTTTGACCCAAAGGAGTGCAAGGAGGAGGGGCCTTGCTGCAGGGGCACAGAGCCTGTCTCACCCTGCGCTGCCCCAGAGCAGTGCAGGCAGCAAGTTAAAAGCCAGAGGGGCAAGAGACAACCATGCAGAGACTTTCCCCAGCAAGCTGCTGAATACCCCTTGCTGCCCCATCAAGCAGGCAGGGCAGCAATTTAAAAGCCAGAGCTCGACCCAGCTGCTGCTGGCTTTTATATCACTGCCCCACCACTCAGCTGGGCAAGGAGGCAGCAAAGGGAAGCCAATGGGAGCAGGAAAAGCCGCCTGTCTCATACTGAAACTGGGGACTTCCCAGGTTGGGAAAAGGGTAATACTGGCTGCTGCTCCCCATACCTCTTCATCTACAGCAGAGAGAAGGGGGCAGAGCAGCTACCCCCATACCTTCTCAAGACCAAGGTGACCCCAGCAGCTGCATTTGCTTCAGGAAAAAAGCCTGAACATCTGTACATTTCTGACATCTACCAGTAAAAAAAAAAAAAATTCTTCCTGACTGATACTGAACATCTGTACCTAGCCAAAATAACTAAAAGGTGTCACTGTATAGTGACCATAACCTGGGAGCATAACCTAATTTTTGTGATGAAAAAAGGTTGACTAATGCACAATATTTTGAGTCCTCAACAACTGAGTTAAGAACCTGATGCATCTCCCACTGGAGTCAAAGTTTTTGTAGCGCCTTCAACAGGAGCTAGATAGCACCCAAAATGAGGAATTGAAAAGCTTTTCAGCACTAAAACAATGAATTAAAGAAACAATTACCCACTGCAAGGCACGATAACTATGCAGTTCTTACAGAAGAATGAAAGAATACAGGAGCAAGTAAACTCAAATATAGAACCGTCAACAGCGTATATAAAAATACCTGTTTCAGCAAAATAAAAATTTGACATATTTTGCTATCTCCATTTTTTATTACTTTTTTATAGTCATTTTCCTTATTCCATTGCTAACTGATAAAGGAACACATGAGACTTGCCAGCTTTAGTGTAATATAAACCTCCAACCACTTCCAAAACCTACCTTCACAACTGTGTTAACAAGCAGAAGCAACAATTCATGATTTTCATGGAGAAACAAAGAAACAGCCAAGTAACCTACAACAGAAAACAGTCATCAACACTCCCATGTAATAAATAATTTAAAAAAACCTGTTACTAGAAAACACCACAGGAATCAACTCATCATGGGCAAAAATATAGTTACATTAACTTCTCCTTACATCTCAATGGTAAAAATAGCTGTTTTTGCAACCTGGTTGCTTCGAGATATTCAGGTTGTTATTCTATGTTCAATAAAAGACAGAAGTGAAACCAGCTAGCTATGTCCACAGTTAAGAGGAATCTATAAACTTAGACTTAAAACTCATGGCAACTTGGGCAGCAGTGACCAGAAGATGATTGAACTTAGGATCCCAAGGAAAGGAAGAAGATCAGCCGAGTAAGGGCTTCAGAAAAGCACACTTCAACTCACTCAAGGAACTGATGGACAGGAGCCCATGGGAGGCCAGTCTGAGTCCAGAGACCTGGTTGTATTTTAAAGAAACCTTCCTGAGGGTGCAGGAATTAATCATCCCAATGCACATGGAAACTAGCAAGCATAGCAGAAAACTAACTTGGCTTAGCAGAGAACTTTTCAGTTAGCTACAACACACAATGGAAGCTTACAACAGTGGAAACTTGGACAAACAACTAGGAAGGAGCACAACAGTATTGCTCAGGCATCCCGGGATAAATCAGGAAGGCCAAAGTGTAATTGGAGTTGCTGCTAGCAAGGGATGTGAAGGGTAACAAGAAGGATTTCTACAAGTATATCAGCAATAAGAGGAAGATCAGGGAAAATGTGGGTTCCTCACTGAATGTGGGAGGCAACCTAGTGACAGATGAGGAAGAAAGGCTAAAGTACTCAATGCCTTGTTCACCTCAGTCTTCACAGGCAAGGTCAGCTCCCAGACGACTGCACCAGGCAGAACAGTTTGGGGAGAAGGTGAGCAACCAACAGTGGAGAAAGAACAGGTTAAGGACTACTTAGAAAAGCTGGACGTGTACAAGACCATGGGGCTAGACAGGATGCATCCAAGGGTGCTGAGGGAGTTGGCTGATGTGACTGCAGAGCTGCTGGCCATCATCTTTGAAAACTTATAATGATCAGAGGAGGTCCCAGAGGGCAAATATAGTGCCCATCTTTAACAAAAGGGAGGATCCAGGGAACTACAGACCAGTCAGCCTCACCTCAGTCCCTAAAAAAATCATGGAGCAGGTCCTCAAGGAGTCCATTTCTAATCAACTGGAGGAGAAGAAGATTGTTAGGAACAGGCAGCATGAATTCAACAAGTCACGTCTGGCCAACCTGATTGCCTTCTATGATGCAATAACTGGCACTGTAGATGCAGGGACAGCAGTGGATGTGATATACAAGTGCAAGGCTTGTAATATGGTCTCCTACAATACCCTTGCAAGAAGTTGAGGTACAGGTTGGATGAGAAGACTACAAGGTGGACAGAAAACTGGCTAGATCATTAGCCTCAAAGGGTAGTAAACAATGCCTTGATATCTAATTGGTAGCCGGTACCAAGCAGTTACCCCATGGGTCAGTCCTGGGCAGAGATGCGGGGCAGAAAATTTTCCAGTGCTTTATTTTTCCATGGGAAATTTTCCATTTTTTTTAATTTGTTTCAGAAAATTCATTAGTAACAATTAATGGATGCCAATACAATATTAGGCAAGCTTGGCAGTTTCAAAGTTGTAATTAATGTTTTTCAGCTGATTATCCCAAGGAAGTGTGAGAGTGTTTTACTGATTTGTAAACAAGAGGGTAAATCCAATGACATACTAATCCAGACCAAAAATCAAGTTATGAATTCATCTAATTGGCTGTGTGGGTCAAATCAAAACCAAAGCACAGCATATCATGCACAGTTCTTTGGGTGTGCTAAAATTAGTGTGTCAACAGTTTTCAGTGCCTTTGTTTTTTTCCTTAAATTTAAACAAACAATATAAGGGAAGTACATGCTATTATGTACTGTCTTTACATTTTTACAAGTAGTCCAATAAAAATAATTTATTTCCCCATAAACCTTGGAATTTGTTTGAATATACCATTTAACCCACATAAAGTGTGCTGTATTTATTTTTTTTCCTAATCAAATATTTCAGTTCAAATACTTGTGGCTATTGGGACATAAAATTAACATGGGGTACTTTTTTAGTTTTGTTTACTAAATGTAAGTCAAGTAAACATGCTAAATCAGATCGTGTTCTATTTAGGGCACTGGAAAATTTTCAAATGGAAAATTTTCCAGAAAACCCACATCTCTGGTCCTGGGGCTGATTTTGTTCAAGATCTTCATCAACAACCTGGAAAATGGGATGAAGAGCACCCTCAGCAAGTCTGCAGACAACACCAAGCTGGGGGGAGTAGTAGATACACTGGAGGGCAGGGCTAGAATTCAGAGTGACCTAGACAAATTGGAGGATTGAACAATAGAAATCGCACGAGGTTCAATGAGGTCAAGTATAAAGTCCTGCACTTAGGATGGAACAATCCCACGTTTCAGGCTGGGAACCAACTGGCTAAGCAGCAGCTCTGCAGAAAAGGACCTGAGGGTTACAGCGGACCGTAAGCTGAATATGAGCCAACAGCGTGCCTTTGTTGTGAAGAAGCCTAACAGTATATTGGGCTGCATTAGTAGGAGTGTTGCCAGAAGAGCAAGCGAAGTGACTCTTCCCCTCTATTTTACACTGGTGACGCCACACCTGGCATAGTGTGCAAATCTGGACACAGTCCACATCCATGTCCACATCTGGAGTACAGTTTTCATCCCCCCACTACAGAAAGGATGTAGTCAAATTGGAGAGTCCAGCAGAGGGCAATGGAAGTGGTTAGGAGGCTGGGGCACATGTCTTCTGAGGAGAGGCTGAGGGAGCTGGGCTTATTTAGTCTGGAGAAGAGAAGACAAAGGGGATTTAATAACAGCCTTCAACTACCTGAAGGGTGGTTCCAAAGAGAATGGAGATAAACTGTTCTCAGCAGTGGCAGATAACAGAACAAGCAGCAATGGTCTCAAGTTGCAGCAAGGGAAATTTAAGTTAGGTATTAGGAAATTTAAGTTAGGTATTAGGTATTACTAGTCTCCTTTCTTACTAGGAGACTAGTAAAGCACTGGAACAGGCCACCCAGAGAGGTTGTAGAATCTACATCCTTGGAGGTTTTTAAACAAAGCCTTGGCTGGGATGATCTAGTTAGGGATGGTCCTGGTTTGGGCAGGGAGTTGGACTAGATGACCTCCTGAGGTCCATACCAGCCCTAATTTTCTATGATTCTAGATCTAAGTACTTTGATGGCTTCACATAAGAGACCATTTCCTGGAAAGTGAATGCTTCTCTAAGTACTAATGAAAATATACTCTTCCTAGGCCAGACAACTGACTGTAAAAAGGCAGAGTTCCATCATTTATGGAAAGAGACAAACATAGCAAAAGTGAATTACTGTGTTCTAACTTATTTACTAAATTAAATCATTCAACAATTTTAGTGTTACTCACATATTTATATTTATTTTAGATGGCAATTACAAATTGTATAAAGTTATAGTTGTCCTAGCTAGCACAACTCAATAAAATGAATGAATCCAAAATGGTAGTCAAATCAGACTACCCCAGTCGTATGACATACAATTAAAAAGGGCAAATAAATCCTCTGTAACACCTCAAACTTCCATTTCTCTCTCTGCCATAACCCTTCTCAAATACAGTAAAATCTGCACTATCCGGCATTTAACTGACTGGAAATTCCATTCACCAGAATTTCTGGCTGGCTGGCCATACATGGAGTGGGGGGGGCGATGGAAAGCACGCATGTGGCAGCGGTAGCTGCCGCCACCAGCCACCACCCTCTGCTGCCGCCACCCTCTCCCCCCACCCATGTGCAGCTGCTGCCCCCACCCACCCCCCCTGCATTACCT